CCAGCCTCCAGAACTGGGAGAAGTTTCTGTTCAGGCACCCAGGCTCGTTCACCATCTCTCACCCTTCCCTTGCAGGTCCAGGTCAAGCCCTTGTCATCGTTGCATAACAATGGGGGCATGTCCTCAGGAATGTAGTGCTAGGGAATTCTGTTGCTGTGTGGACATCCTAGAGTGAACTCACAGTCACCAAGACAGTATAGCCTACAGCACATCTGGGCTGTATGGTGTAGTCTGTGGCTCCTGGGCTACAACCTTGAACAGCATGTGACTGTGCTAAATATTGTAGGCAACTGAGACACAATGAAAGTATTTGTATATCTGAACATTTCTAAACATAGAAAGGATACAGGAATAATACAGTATAAAAGATTTCAAAATGGTACAGTCACATAGGGCTCTTACATAAATGGAGTTTGCAGGACTGGAAGTTGTTCTGGGTGAGTCAATGAGTGGTAAGTGAATGTGAAGTCTTAGGACATTGCTATGCACTACTGTAGACTCTATGAACGCTGCACACTTAGGCTACATGAAATTTACAAAGCAAAGTAACTTCTTTACTTTATGAACTTTTAGAAAACTGACCCTTTTGTAATAACATTTAGCTTAAAACATACACTATAAAGCTGCACAAAAGTAATTTTTCTCTACATACTTATTCTGTAAGCTTTTCTCTATTTCAAAATTTTTTAATTTTCATTTTTAAACTTTTTTGCTAAAAACTAAGACATAAGCACACACATTGGTCTAGGTCTACATAGGGTCAGGACCATCACAACATCATTAGGTGACAGAATTTCTGAAGCCATCACAACCATGGCTTGGTCCGTTGCCAGCTAAAGTGCCACTCTGTGTGTTGTGTGTGCCTACACCTGTCCTCCCCTTGATTTCCTCCTTGGAGAAGTATCTGGCTAAGACTCGGCCCACTTTCAGTGGGTTCTCTTTTGACCTGCAATCCTTTATACACTCTGCGTGTCTTCTGTCTGATACATGTACTGAGGACACTTCCCCATCATTGATGGCATCTATTGATGGAAAATGCTCTCAATTACAATGAAGCATACATTACTGAGCGTTGCTTTTATAGTTTTTTCTGTTAAGAAATGTTTGCCTAACTGAAGGCTATGAAGACCTCCATATATTCTTCTAGAAGATGGATCATTTACATCTAGAATCTATCCAGAACAAATGCTGTGCGTGCTTTGAGAACGAGCTCAGGCTCTTTTCCTTTCTCCAAACAGGCCTCGTGGGCCTAGTCCTTTTCCCATGAACCTATGGCGGAGCCTGTGCTGTAAACCCGATTGTGTGAGCCAGTCTCCACTCAGCCCAGGCTGTGTGTCGACTACTATGGTCTGACTGTCCCTGTGCTCCCAGAATTTACCCCCAAGGTGAGGATATTAGGAGGTGGGGCTTTTTAGGAGGTGACTGGTCATAGGGCAGGGCTTCCCAGATAGGATTTGTGTCCTCATCAAAGGGGCCCCAGGAAAACTCCCTCGGTCAGAAGGCGCCATCTATGAGGCAGAACTCCACCAGGCAGACTCTGAATCTGCTGACACCTTTGTTTTGGACACCCAGTCTCCAGGCTTGGGAAATCAGTGTCTGCTGTTTATGAGCCCCCAGTGTATGGCATTTTGTTACAGCAGCTAGAACAGACAGACATCTGTCCTTGCACACTGCACTAATGGCTGTGGCTTTGGAATTGCCCAACTCCTGACAAAGTATGTCCTCTGGCTCTGCTTTGAGGCTGCCTGGAATGCAAGAGGTCCTCCCCAGGCCACCTGCGGATCCCATACACCCAGATCCCTGCTGGGCTTTGCCTGGGGTCGCCCTGAAGCAAGACACTGGCTGATATCTGGACCACATCCTGGGGCTTCCAAAAACAGAAATTCACTCTCACTTCTGGAGCCCAGAAGTCTAAATCAAGCTGTCCTCAGGCCCTGCTCCTTTCCAAGGCTCTGGAGGCCCTTCCTGGTTCCTGTAGCTCCAGGGGTTCCAGTGTTCCTCAGACCATGACTGGTTGCTCTAGGCTCTGTCTCCATGGCCTCCTCCTCATCTGTCCCCATCTCTTAGAAGGACATGAACTAACCAATTCCATACAACACGCTGCTAATATTGAGTCTTCCAATCCATGAAAACAGTAAATTCCTTACTTTTTATATTTTAGAGCTTAATTTTTTTCTCAGCAACTGTTTGTGGTTTTCAGCATAAAAGTCTTGCTGTCTATTGTTGAGTTTATTCCTAGGTATCTGAAGCTTTTTGAGTCACTATATGGCACTGTTTTTTGAATTTCATTTTGCTTGTTGCTAGTATACAGAAATCAAATCAATTGTGGTATACTAAGTCCACATCCAGCAGCTCCTAAACCATGTGTTCATCTGATAATGCAGGCTGTCTAGGGCTCTTGTGTGACACTCGTACTACCTGTGAACCTTCTCTCTGTTTCTTCTGTCCTTTCCTTCCTTATCTTGCCTTACTGCACGGAACTGACCGTGAAACACCAAACAGCAAGAGCGAAAACCTTTGTTCTGTTTGCAACTGCAACAAAGAATGTCACATACCTCACTCCTGGCTGTGCTGCAGGCTTTGGGGTGTTTGTGGGTACTGCTTATCAGAGCAGGGAAGTTCCCTTCGACTCCTCAGTCGCTGAGAGATCATGAGAAAGGGGCACTCATTTTTTCAAATGCTTTCTCCATGAAAGAGGCTATAGGCTTCCTGCCTTTATAGTTAATGTGGTGAATTACGATAACTGAAGTTGAGGTATTTTACCTTGTTAGGCAACACTACATTCTACTAGCTAGCATGCTTTAGGAGTTCTGCATCCACATTCACGTGATACTAGTCTGCACGCTTCCTTCCTACAGTGTTCTCATCGGGTTCTGCTATTAAGGTTTGCTGGCTTCATGGCAGCTGATGAGTGATCTCCTACCTGCTCAAGGGTCTAGGCCCATCACCTCCTAAACACCCGGACATGGGGTTCATCTTTGTGGGAAGGATTCACATTACAGAACACATTTCTTTAACACACAGCCCAATTCAGTATTTCTTTATATGCACATTTTGATACACTGTTTTTCAGCACATCTGTCCATTTCACTGGCGATGTCCAGTGATCTCCACACCATGCCCCGTCACCTTCCTAACATCTACAGGACCTGCACAGTCCTTCACTTCCAGCACTGGGGACCAGTGTTCCATCTCCCTTTTTCTTGACCAGATTTCTTAAGCATTTATTTATCTAATTAATCTTTTCAGAAAATTGGAAAACCCTCTTTTGGCTTTGTTGATTTTTCCTTTGGGATGGTTGCTTCTATTTAATTGGATTCTAAGGCCTTTTTTTCTCACCCACTTTGTGTTCAATCTGTTATTCTTTCTCTAACTTCCTGAGATGTGAGCTTAGGGTACTGACTTTCCACCATTCTTGATAAATTTCCTCTAAACACTGCTTTTAAATGCCTCTCCTAAGTTTTAAAAAGTGGCATTGTGATTATCACTGAGCTTAAAACGTGTTTCACATTTCACTATAATTTCCTTTTTGCAGCACGGGCCTTCTGTGAGTACACAGCCTCTGGGTGTCGTCCTGTTACTGAGGTCTACTATAGCCACTTCTGAGATCTTCGGAGACTTAGTGTATGCCCCAACACGTGCTCTACTTTTGGCAGATGCTTCCCTTGAACGGATGCCATTTCTCCAGGGGTTTGTGGACATGCAAAACTCAGATCAAATTGGTTAAAGGTATTGCAAAAAGTCTTCCACACCCTGACCATGTTTCTGTCTCCTTGCTCTGTTGACTGAAGAGAGATGCAACAATGTGCGTGAGGATGCGATCTCACATTTATTTCCATCTGCCATGGTTCCAGGTGCTCACCTGCAGTGACATGGCCATCATCTCCAGCAGCGATTCTCATCTTAGTCCACTTGTCTGATATCAATCCCATGACATCAGCTCTCTTTTTGTTAATGTGTACATGGTTTGCATCTTTCAGTTATCCAATTTCAACCTTTCCGGGTCTTAAAAGCATGTGTTCTTAAAAGCATGGCTCTTGCAAACAGTTTACACTTGAGTTTGTTGGCTTGTTTTTCATCCAGCCTGTCAACTCTATCTTTAACTACCTATACATAACGAAATGACTGACTGACAGTAGGCTGGCATCTGCTTCCTTGCTATTTGTTTTCTATCCATCTCGTCTGGTTCTATCTTACATTCTTCTTTTGAATTAACCACACTTCTTATTCCACTTTTCTCCTCCTATGTAGTTTACTCGGGATTGCAAGGGCATCCCTGTTGTGTTGTGGTCTGACATTAGTAGACAACCAGGCAGACCTGCCCCTCATATCAATCCCACTCCTGCCTTTTGTGTGCCACTGCTGTGGCATGTTTTACTACCAAAGAAGTTTTAAAGCCCTAGTACGTCAACAATACTGATGTTTCAAGGAGCTAACACTCGTGTGATTTCCCCACAGATATGCATTCTCCGTTTTTCTCAGTACTTCCTTTCCCAGTGGCAGGTTCGCCCTTCGGTATTTCCTCAAAGCAGCAGTCCTACAGACAATAAACTCTCACCCTTTGTTTGCACAAAACATCTTTAATTAGCTTTCATTTTTCAAGGATAATTTCACTGAATATAGAATTGCAGTACTTTCCTTTCAGCACTTTCAAGACGCTGTACAGCTGGCCTCTGGCTTCCACTATGTGTTAAAATCATCTTCAGGTATCACTTGGAAGGCCAAGACTTCCTGCTCCTCTACCTCCTCACCATGGACTTGAAAGTGTTCTCTTTGTTTTTTAGCATTTTATGATGATCTGAGGTAGGGGCGTCTTTTCCTCTTTCTGTAAGAATGTCATCCTTGGTATCTGCATAGCTTTTGATTCTATGGTTTTGATTTATCTCATCAGTTTAGAGAAAATTCTGGCCAGCAATTTTTCAAGGATTATCTCTGTTCCATCTGCTCTCTTCTCCTAGAACTCCACAAAAGTGTATCAGACCTCCTCATGGTCTCCCAAATCTCTCTTACCATCCTTTCTGTACCTTCCATCCTTTTCACTCAGTGCCGCAAGCTGGAGACATTTTCTTCCAGTTCACTGTGTCTCTGTTCCACTGTCTACTAAGCTACTAAACATTTGTACTGAGTTCTTCATTTCAGTTGTAATATTTTTCAGTTCCAGAAGTCACATGTCTCCCCTTTATATGTTCCACGTCTCTGATGAAACTCTCCATCAGTTCCCTCTACCTTTTGAAGATGCTAACCATAGTGATTAAAAGTCCCAGTCGCAAACTCCCATGGTGGATCCTTCCTCTTGGTCTTTAACAAATTACTTTAAGCTTGCCCCCACTGTGGCTGGAAAACTACAGAAGCTCCAGGTGATTTTTTTCCTCAAAGGAGGAAAAAAAGAGATAAAATGTTCAAGTTGTGAAAATCTGAGTTAAAAAAAGAAAAGCACAAGACACAACACAGACAAGAAATATAAAAAAAGAAATGTGAAGAAGAACAGACATGAGAACACATGAGGAGTCCCCATTCTCCTGGTGCAGCCATCTGTGGGGGCAGCCGGCCTAGGGGCTCCTGAGCCCCTGGAGAAGCCAGCTGGAGTGCTCCCTCCCCAACATGAGTATGCAGAGTCACCCAGGGATCCTATTCTGTCCCAAGGTTTCCCTGTATTTATGGGTGGGAACAAGAGTGCAGAGCTGGAAACAGGCATTCCCTGTGCAGCCCCAGCCTGACTCGGGAGCCTCAGCAGTTCCCCTCTGGCTGCGGCAACAAAATGTGCCCCATCTGCCTTGTTGGTAAACGTGTGAAAACCTAAACTAAAGGACCTCCAGCTAGAATCAAATTACTAGTGTAGACGCGTGTCCTGCTGCCACTTGCAGAGGCGGGCCAGCTGCCTGAACTTGATCCCGCAGAGTTGTGTGTACCACTAGGCCTTGAACAATAGGGGCACCGCCAACTAAAATGTGCCATGCAGGCAGGGGTTACTATTGGCTGTGCTCATCTGCAGCCCTGTCTCTAAAACCAGACTGAGCTTCCAGATGGGGATGATGCCTCACCACCTCCCACTCCCGCCAGCAGAGCACGCTGCACACAACAGGCACCCAAAGACGTTGGCTCAAATGCAAGTCAATCCAAGTGTCTGGTTACACATCCAGGTATATACGGCGCAATTCAAACAAGAAACACACTGGGTCTGACCATAGTGGTACAGAGTGAAGCTGTCTCAGCCCAACGTGTGTAGTTTGAACACATGCTGTTCTAGGACAGCCAGGGACTGAAACCCAATGTTACCAAGCACCCCGTCACACAGCCCACACTCCCACTAGTGCTCCCCGGACGACGCACGTGCACATGGGCAGCAGTCCTGGGTCTGTCCCTCCCGACAGCAGCGCATGCGGCACCCACGTACTTTGCAAATTTCACTGTGGTCGCGTTGCGAGGCACAAACCCCGTGTGGAACTGAACCTGGAACATCTTCATGGACGCCATCTGCAAGAATAAGCAGACCTGAGACTTTCGGGTCGTGGGAAAACCTTCCACATTCAACAAGCTCTGAGGACCTATTCAAGGTGCTAGGGACACACAGACAGGAGCATGGGAGAGGGGTCAGCATGAGGCCAGGCACCTGAGGAGGTACCCACACAAGCCCCATATCTTAGCAGGGCAGTCCCTAGGTCGATACCCAGTAAGCCCTCCATAAAGATGTAGTCCTGTCATGCTCACGGGGGAAACTGCTTTTCAGGCTGAAATCCCGATGTCTGTGCAACACAGAGCGTGCTGGGGACCCCACTGTCTATCACCACATGAAAGCTGACAGCACTCACTGAAAGAGCTCAACTAACACCCTTTGTGAGAATCACCAGGCGGCATGTGCACGAGCCCAGGGTGGTCACAGCCTCTCTGTTGCCAAGGACAAGCTAGGAGCACAGAGAAGGTTACACACTCACCTTGGCCTGTAGCCTTCCACCCAGGGTGGACCTCGCATGATAGATGACAATGAGCACATCTCCCTGCACCGTGACACCCAAGGGAATGACCGCCTTACCATCCTCGGTTTTAAAATCCCTGAAGGACAGAGTGGAGAGCAACTGTTCACTTGCACAAGAAATAAGACGTTCTAAATGAAGAGTGATTGCTCAGTAAGAACATCAAGGCCTGCTGAGCACTGAACTCAATGCATACATCCACCCCTTGCCAACTCTGGTCCCAAGGTACCTGCCACGATGCTCCAGCTCCAAACATCGTGGCCTTAAAAGCAGCTGTCCCAACACTAGCGCATCCTCTTTCAAGTTTCCAGAGGCAATCAGAGGAATAAACATACAGTCACGAGTGGGAAGGCCTGCCTGTATACTCACTTCATCTTGTCATACTCCTGGGACGTGGTGGCCACACGCTCATCCCCCACGTAGACCTCGCAGAAGGGCCTGCAGCCATTCCTCTGCTTGCTGAACAATGGCACAGGGGTCATGACCACAGCCTTCACCAGGATGGGCTTGCTGTGCGGCGTGATGGGCTCCTCCGCCACCATGTCACACATGTACTCGATGTATCTGAGAGACAAGCATGTACTGCGTCACCCATGTGAGGTGTCCAAGTGGCAGATGTGAAGCGCCTCACCCATGTACCGCATCACCCGCACACAATGACCCTGAGGGGCATACACAGACCACACCACCCACGTATGATATCCCTGAGGGGCAGACACACACTAGTCACTCACAGATGGTATCCCTGAGGAGCAGATGCACACTCCATCCCTCACGTGAAGTGACCGTTAAGGGACAGACACATCACATCACTCACATATGGTGTCCCTAAGGGACAAACACGTACTGTGTGACCCATGTATGGTGTCCCTGAGGAGCAGACATGCACTGTGTCACCCATGTGGTATGTCCCTGAGGGCCAGACATAAATAGACCTTTTTTTCTTTACAAATACAAGTATGTGATGTAGTAAAGTTCCCTTGAAGCAATGTTTTAGTTTTGGGAATTTGTGTTATAACTTTCATTGAGTTCAAAATATTTTTAAATGTCTCATGAGCTTTCCTTGTTGACTCATGGGTTATTTTGAAGCTGTTTAACTTTGAAAAACTTAGAGATCTTTCCAGGTATTTTTCTGGTTAATTCATAGTTTTATTTCATTATGATCTGAGAGAAGATTTTGTATGATTTCAATTTTTAAAAATTTGTTGAGGTTAGTTTAATGGCCTAAAACATGCTTACTTTTTGAATGTTCCATGTGTGACTGAGAGAAACATGTCTTTTCTGTTGTTGGGTGTAGTGTCCTATAAATGGCAGTGAGGTCTATTCTATGTCTTTGCTGATTTCCTGTCCACTTGCTCTGCTGATACTGAGAGGAATGATATTTGCACTATCAACATCAATTTGTCTATTTCTCCTTTTAATTCTGTTTTATGCTTAATAAATTTTGGCTCTATTTATTTAACACTGACATAGAAACTCTGACTTTCTCAGGGTCAGTGTTTCCACAGTGTGTCTTGGTGGCATACGACCCCAGGGTGTCCATCTTCCACCTCGTGGGCTCCTGGCACCTGTGCGGGAGTAGTAACATGTCTCTAGCCAACAGGAGAGGCAGTGCCACTTCTGTGATGATGGTGCAGACCCCACCCTTCTGGAGGGCTTGCTCGTGGGGCTTTCCTTGATGCCCAGGTGAAAGGAAACTGTGGGCACCTCCAGGACCTGAGGCATGTCCAGGTGAAGGTCAGCCAGAAGCCAGGATGCTCAGTTCTCCAGGTACAAACAAGCAAATTCTGCCAATGCCTGGGTGAGCTTGGAAGCAGGTTCAGAAGAACAGGGCAAACAGACTTTCAGGGGCTCAGCCAGCACTGACCACAGCACCCAGTTGGGCAGCAGTGACCTGTGGATGCTGAGAGCAGGTGGGCACTTCATGAAACGTGTCCTCACGTTCACACAGCAATAAACAATGGATAAAATCTTCCTTCACTGTTTTCTTTTTAACCCACCCTTGCCTATGCATCTCGGGGAGGCTCCTATAAATGGTGCCAGGGCAGGTCTTGCTGTTTCATCCAATGTGATAATCCCTGAATTTAACTGGTTTTCTCAGACCACTCCCATTCAGCCCGAATCCTGCCAGGCTGGATTCAACTCTGTCATCTGGCTAACAGTTTTCTGTGTGCTCCACCTGTTCCTGCTTTCCTTTTTGCCTTCTCTTGGATTAACTAAGCATTATTTACGTGCTCACTTTCCTTATTCTGTGGACTTATTAACTGTAGGCCCTGAGGAAACCTTACTCGTTGCCTCTCCCACTGCTCTGCGGCCCAATGGCCATGTGGTCTACCTAGGGTGGAAGGAACGAAGCACATGAGCCCCTCACCTACTTGGGTTCTCCTCTCTCCCCACTAGAGCAAGAGTAGGGGCAGCATCAGTGCTGGCTTAGCTCTTGTACCACCTACTTTTGGGGGGCTGAGGCCCACATTGAGGCTCACGCACAGGATAAGAGACTCCACCGCCACTCGCCTCCTCCCGAGTCCAAGCCCAGGGAAGGCTCACGCTGGGCAGGGGCTGCTCAGTCTAGACATCAGGAGGTCACTCTCACTGCAGGGCAACAGGTGGGTGTGGACACGAGGAACCCCTCTAGTGGGCAAATGGAGCAGGTCCAGGGAGAAGAGGGAAGGGGCAGCGCTAGTCGCAGCCACAAGAATGTACATCCTTCAAACTGTCAGGAAGAAATGCCTAGGTAGATCTAGAGTGGCACAGAAACACATGTTTATAGGCCCCAAGGCACAAACGATCAATGTACACACGAACAGTGCCAGATGGTCCCAGAGTATTTTCACAGGCAGTTATCTGCCAAAACCCACTACAGGGGCACCACACACGGAGCTGGGCTCCAAGAGAAGCTGCCCACTGGCACAGGGTCACTCTAGGCTCAGAGGCCTGCTGGAACATTCAACATCTGGGAGCTGAGCAGGGTACTGCCGTCCACAGGACAGGGCGCACCAGGGCTGGAGATCCCCACAAGGTGCTGGTGGTATCCCAGCCTCAGGTCCTGTGGCCCAGCTGGCCCTCAGCGAGTCCAGGCCTTACCCTCTTCCACAGTGACACAGACCTGGAGAACTGACCCCAACACAGGATAGCATTACCATGGGTACCCATGGGGCCAGAAGCATTGCCATCCCCAGAGGGGACACAGGATACCTTTTGTGGGAAGGCCAGATGCCCGGCGGGCAGCGCTTCATACTGAACATGTACACGGCAGCCTCTGCAGTGCTGAAAAGGCGGCAGAAGCACAGGAAGGAGCAGACAGCCACAGCAGATGCAGCTCTCCCGTCCTAAGACAAATGGACATAGGGCACTCAGAACCTTGCTCATGTGGCAGGATAAGGTTCAAGGGGGTCCTGCAGACTTCCCACCTGTCGCGTCCCAAGGGAATGACATAAAGCCCTTCCTCTGATGTGGGGGCATGTTGGGAACTTATGTAGATGTGCCCAGTGGTGGGGAGAAGGAAGGTTCCCTAACCAACGTGGTGGTAGCTGTTCCAGCAGGAGCCTGCTCACCCCGCTGTCCCCACTGCATGCACAACACCACAGAGCACCTCCTTATCATCACTCCTGAAGTGACTGTGGCAATACCACAGTGGCAGCCACTGAACTCCAAAGGTGTGCTGGGAAGGGCCACACCGTGAGCAGAGCCCATAACCCCCAACCTTCGCTCTGTGAGAACTTGGACGTAAGGATTCAGTGACCATGGTGAGGAAGGGTGGAATAGGGTTCCCACATGGCAGAGCAACCTCTGCCCTGGATGGTAAGGTCCAGGCCAGGTAGAACATGGAGAACGAAAGGGGTGGGGCCACCTGACAGTCTGTCTGTCCCCACCCGACCCAATGATTCCCACGTGAGAGACTGTTCTGTGTGGTGGCCTGAGGTGTGTCTGGTGCTGTCTTTGTTTAACAAACACGTGAAAGCAAGAATTTCAATAAAAACCCAAAGACCGGGCATGTCCTCACACTCACCACGCAGTGCACGACACAGACGTTTCTGTGGTCCTGCCGCAGCCAGGAGTGCATGTTCTTGCAAATGTTGTACAAGGTGTGGAGGTGTGGGGCCCGCCGGGCTACCCAGCCGCATTCGGAGACCTGCAGGCAGAGCGCCCACTCAGCTTGGCAACCTGGCAAGCCCACCCTGTGCCCTGTCCATCTTTGTTGAGGTCAGGATTGAGGCCCAACAGAAGCGGAGGCCCAGGTCCTGGGGTGCCCTCCTGCAGTGTAGGGTCCTCCACAGCTGACGTCAGGGACCAGTATCCATAAGCTCGGGGTGCCTCTACGCTACAGGTTCTAAGCACCTGGGCTGCCACTGATGCTGCAGAATATGGTCTGCCCACCCCCAGGCTTTGGGTCAGCTTAAAACGACAAAAGGTGTGTCCAGAATGTTTATCTCCCAAGAAAGCCATGGCCTCGTGTGCCCCTCTGAAGGGCGAGAGCTGTGAGAGTGGGAGGCAGGCAGAGTGGATTTCTCAAGAAGCAGCATCTCTAGTGCACAGCATGGACTCCTCAGGTTCCCTTCGGAGACACCTCAGCCCTGCCTCGACTACAGCAGCTACCCCGCCCTGGTTAGAATCCCCTGGCTCTGCTCGTTGCTGGCTGCCTGCTGTCTGGGTAAGGTCAAAGGTCAGTCTAGTGCTCCAAGTAAGAGGAATTATCAATCACATAAACCTGCACGGGAAGTGGGAGAAAAACTGCCAAAGTAACCCCAGGATAAACCTGGTGCCACACACCCGGTTGTGAAACTTGGAGGGCCGGTATGTCCTCGTAGACAGATTATAGACGGCATAATGTCCCGGGTGCTTGGAGTCTAGAAACAACCGCACGTCTTCTATGTTGTTTTTGATTGCTGACTCCACACCTTCCGCTGGGAAAGACATCACTGAAACAAAGCAGGCCTGCGTCAGTTGCCACATGGTAACTGCCATCCTGGGAAGCTGTGCTTGCTTGTAGCCAGGCCGCTGCCCTGAGTGCCCCACAGTTCCTGGAAGCTGTCTGGGCAAGAACAGCCTCCTGCAGCCTCACCAGCCACTGGCTGGCTGACCGAAGAGGACATGGAGGCTGAGCAGGGTGAAGCACAGACCAGCCCATATGCCGGGACTTCTGGAAGGAGCTTTCCAGACAGCAAGTTCTGCCCACAGAGACTGAGGTCTAGGAATGGCCTCCCAGCATCAGGATAAGCTTGTCTGAGTTTTCTGCAGAGACCCAGGCTTCAGATGTGTCTGGCCTTGTGTCGGGTCCCCTCATGACCTCACAGTTCTGGACTAGGGGAAGAGTTGGGCCGACACTGGCCCTGTGCGCTGCATGGCCTGGAGCACCTGGGACCCCAGGCTGCCCTTAGGGGGCTTTCGCGGCTGTCCAGGAGGCTGGAGAAGGGGTACATCTGCCAGTGCATGGCACCTGGCCCAGCCCCAACTTGCAGCCATCACAGACACTCTTGAGCAGGGGAGGGGAGGAATGTGTCCACAGCCTCGCCTAGCAGACATACCTGCAATTCTGGATGTGATGTAAGATATGTCCAGGTCACCCTTGGCATAGCTGGAATCAAAAAGAAGAGCATGTGGTTATTGTAGGAAACATTCCACAGTCAAGTCCCAAGGGTGCACACGTGAGCCCTCATACTGCCTGCAGAGCTGTCTAGGTTGCATCCATGAGGAGCATTCATGTGCATGTGTGTGTAAGCATGTGCTGTATGGAGCTGACGTCTATATTAGAAGTGGAGAGAAACGATCACCTGTAGGTGGCGGAGGCCTGGACCCAGCGGGAAGAGCGTCCCATGGTCTAACTGCCACCCCATGTGCTCACAATGGAGGCACAGCACCAGAAGCCAATCCTGGAGAGGCAGTGACACAAGTGGAAGGCAGGCCAGGGAACAGAGGCCACCATGGGTTCCAGGACACTTGCAAGGCATGTGGCTGGCTGCCTGAGGACACGGGAGGCCAGCTGACACTGTCAGAGGCAGGACGGGGGCCCCAGGGCCTGGAGATCCCTGCTGTGCTCACAGACCATTTTCTGGAGAATGACTATCTCCTATCAGGTCCATAAAGTCGGTAACACACAGATCAAAAACCCCACATGACTATACAGGGAGGGTTCGCTGGAAGCAACAGTTGTGCAAGAACAAACAAGACATTCTTGGGAAGGGACTGAGGGAGGCTGCCTCACAACAGCACGCTGGAGCCGAGGGCCCTGAAGGGCAGTGTGGGGAAAGGACAGTGCCAAGGTAGCTGTGACTTGGCTGACTGCAGAGGGGCCACTTAGCCAGATAAAGTGCACAGAGTCAGCAGAATATTCCAAAAGTAAGGTCTACCTATATCAAAGGCTCAGATATATACAAAGAAAACTTGCTTAAAATCTATGTAAACATTGGAAACATGTTTAAACCTACTTGAAACATGCTAACTTAAGACACAAGGGTCTCCTAGACAATAGAGATACCCAGGGAAGCACAGATAGGCCTGATCTTTACTTCAAAACTTCTGAAGACAAGACATCTAAAAATGATCAGTGCAAAACAGTTGCTATGTATATTTTTCACAAAAAGCATTTGTCCAGAGGACACATAACCTCAACATCAGTAAGGAAAACAGAAATAAAATCCCTACAATAAAAGAGTAAAGGGTGAGAGTGGTTCCTGGAAAGCAGACGAGCTGCCACGGGTGCTGCCCATGGACCCACGGCCAAGCCATGTGGACCCCGCGACCAGCCCCTGTCTCCCAGAAGACCCCACATCCTGCCGGCCAGCACCAAGGGCACCCCAGCATCCAGGTTGGAGGTGACCACAGCAAGGCACTGCACACAGGTAGGCGCTGGGCACCATCACAGGGTCAACACACATTTAGCCCAACCCTCTAGTCTAGGGGGAGAGCCAGGGGCCCAAGCACATGTGCCAGGTGTGTGACCACATCAGTCTGCACCCAACACTGACAGGAAAGAAACAAGATCCCACACAGGGCTCAGGCCAAGATCTGGCCTCCAGGACACAGTGCCACTGGGCACTCATGGCCACCACAGTTTCCACTCCTGGACCTTGTCAGGATAGCCAAACAAATGCATGAATGTGTTATCATCTCTAAGTCACCTTGACAAGCACGGTTACAAAATCTCGTCTGTATCAAGCATGCATCCTAAACAGCAGGCAGTCTGACCACTCACCTTGAAAGGCCTGCCTGCAAGGTGGACCTTCCAGCATCTGGGGGTTTCAGGAGGGCATCCACCATCCTGACCAAGATGCGGTGCCCGCCCTGCCCAGCACCATGCCCCTCCTCTGGAGCCTAGGGTCCCCAGAGTTTCCACACACGGCACCCCACCATCCTCACAGTGCCCATGAGGGAGAGAGGTGTGACCTGGGGAAATCTAGGGGACCCTGGAAGGCATGCCAGCTCTCCTGGCCTCGTCCCACGCACCTCACACTTCTGTCACCTCTGCCCAGCCCTCTCTTGGAATGTGCTGCTGCTGTGAGGACAAGTCTTTCTGAGATCTGTCCACCTGGGGTGTCATCAAGGCCCCAACTTGTCCCCTCTTCTCTTATACTGAAAGTACTCATTCCTGAGGACTCACATCTTTGTCCATCTCCACTATGGTCCAACCCACACGACGACACTGAGGTCTTACATCCCTCCCAGGTCCCCTCTGCCCAGCCACCACATCCAGTACCACCCCATTACTGCATCTCAGAGTCGCCGGCAAGGAGCCAGTTCCCTGACTTAGCTTATGCTGTAGGCTTGCTTGTTTATAAGTTAATGTCCCATGTAAGTTTATGCAGGATGTTTACATGGTCCCAGAGTCAGCCATGAAATCAGGTGAACTTGGGCATGAGCTGCCCACTGCCACCCTTTGTGGGCACCGTTTATATCTGCTTACCCCAAACTTTGCTTTGGGAACACAGATGTGTGTACAGTCAAGTTCCCCCACTCACATAGCACCATCCCTGGCTTAGGCCCGGGGTTTCCACACCCCACATGGCTCTCCTCTTATTTGCTATCCATCACATCTCAGTCGCTTGGCCATGATCCCAGAAGCCTGAGCAGTGGTAACACGCTGGACCTGTGAGAAAGTGTCTCAACCCAGGCTTCATTTCCATTTCCCTTTGGAGAGCAAGATGGATTAGCTACTTGCATACCCAGGAATACCCTGTCCACAGCCACTATGCTGCAGCTTAGTCCCTCAGCCCTAAGTGGACTGGTGACCTTCCCAGCTCAGGTGCCACATCAGGCAGGAAACATGGACAGGGTCACGGGCCGGGGGGGGGGTTGGGGGTGGGGAGGGCTAGCCAGGTTGAGGGCAAGGGGGCTGAACAGCAGCCAAGGGGTGGGCTAGCTGGCACCAGGACAACAGGGCGCATGGCTACCAAACCCTCATCCTGATTCGCTCAGGGCTCTACCTGGGGTACATAGGCATTTCCAGCACACAGACAGGACGTCCCAAGGTACAGCACCCTTACGATGTTACGTCTTCATCCAGAGACACACACAGACAGCAGCTAAGCACCAAGCCTGTGCCTCCTCTGGCCCACACCAGACACACAAGCCCCCGACAGAGTGCTAAGTGCTAGACATAGTGGGGCGTCCTTAGAACTTCCACCTGCTCTGACAAGGGCAGGAGATACCAGAGACAGGGGCCCACAGGTGCTTGTAGATGCCCTGCCTTGGGGGCACACGGCCCTGCTAAAGATCTAGTTCTTCTCAATACAAAGGTCACATCAGGGACAAAGTGTGCAGTTGACAGATATCCAATATGCAACACGCATACATACAAATACACACCTCACACATCTGCACACACACATGCTCACACACACACAAGCACTTGTGCACATGCTCACGATTGCATACATATACATGCTCACACATGTACTCACATGCACTCACACATGCACTGCACACACACTAACAGACATGCATTTACACATATGCACTCATACACTGCACTCAAGTTCACACATGCACTCACACATACACATATGTTCACATGTACATTCATGCACACATTCACGTGTACTCCCATATATACACTCACACACATTCGCACACACATACATGACCACATACGAACCCACACTCACACACATGCACTCACGCACAATGTTCACACACACTCACGTACATGCATGCACGTTTACACATGTTCACATGTCTGCACAATCACACAATGCTCTGTTCACACTCGCACATTTATATGACTGCACAGACATAATCACACATGCACCTGCTCACATGCATGCTCAAGCACACAAAACTCAAACATGAACTCACACACACACACATACTTGTACACACACTTGGGTATATACATACACACATGCTCAGGCATATGCTCATATGCTAACACACTCACAAATAGTCACACACATGCACACGTTTGCACATGTGCACACATATTGTAGGCACAAATACTTGTGTATTCACACACAAGTACACACACATCTACCTGGTGCTGTGGCACAATGATCATGGCACAAAAGAAAATAAGGGCCAGAGGTTTTACTAACTGCAGAAGGAACATGGTACCCACAAAGGCTATGGCCTTGACAATGCCAGGGCACCAGCTCCTCTCTGTGAGCCACATGGTATCAGCTCCAGGTGACCAGGGCCAGAGAGGGATCCCCAGACACTCAGCCTTTTCCAAGAGCCAGCAGAGGGACCCCAGGATGCAGAGGAAGTGCTCCGCAGCATTCCCCAGTTCTGGGAGCAGAGAAAGTGGGCCCTGTGGGCAACCCAGCCAAGCTAAGCATGTTGTTCTCTCCTTGGATGACCCACCTGCAGGGTGACTCTCTCTCCCCACAGCTCACCCACCTCGGCCTAGGTGTGAATAAGCAGGACTCCACCTAAGGAGGACAGCAGCAGTGAGGGGTGCCAGCCTTCTGGCTGCCTCACCCACCTCACATCTAGAAGGAAGGACAGCCCAGCACAAGGGGCATTACCACAGCAGAAAGAATGGGGGACAAGGGCTGCCCCGTGGGTGGTTAACGGGAAGTTACCCACCGGCTCCATTCCAAGTCCTCAGGAGAAGGGGGTGACGCCACCCATTCCCTGGAGCCTCCTATGTGACCTGTTGGTCAGCTTTGCCATGGCACACAGAGGCCTGAGGGTCTGAGCTGTAGTCTGGAACTAGAGTCCAGCAGATGCAGGGCCCTGACATCTCACTTACTTAGCGACAGATTGTATGACCTTGGAGGAGGTGTCCTTGAGGTTGGTGAAGAGCCGCTCCGTTCCGCCCCGCAGAATGTCAAGGAAGCCACCATAGGGCTGGTCATATTCTGCCAGAGCCAGGCCTGCAGAGAGAGAAGGTCTCAGCAGGCCCCAGGCACACACGGTGCCACTACGCTTCAGGGGGATGAAACATGGGCCAGGTCTAGACAGTGGGTGTTGGCAGTGAACAGCATAGGTGGGAGGCCCTGCTGACTCACACACACCCAGCTGCAAGCTCAGCCTCAGGACCAGCAAGTCTGAATGCCATCCTCAGCCTTTCCAGAGACCCCAGGAAGGGGCCTACATGTAGGCACACCTTGGACACGACTTCGGGCTGGAACTCTGCAGACACATGGCAGCCTCATGACCACAACTTCAAACCACCACCACTCTGGATGTGAACAGAGCGGTAGCAGTAAAAGTGGACCCTGAAACTCCCATCCCAGGAGAGAGGCCTTCCAAGGCTGCTTTGGTGGTAGAAGTTGATATAAAAGAAAAACTCACGACCAACACCCCTCATGTGCAGGCCAGAGCCTAGGCCTGGTAGCAATGAGTGCTCAGGGGACATGACAGAGCTTGGCACGTCTGCCCCAGCCACTGTACCATACAGGGGCCCACACTGTGTGGATATGGAGAGTCCAGGACACAGGCTGGCCAGCTAGGGAGAAGGAGACCCTCTCTGCAGCCAAGAGCTGCAGAAGGACCCAGATAAGTCCTCTCACACCCCAGAACAGGAAGGCGACAAGGTCAGGAGATTCAGTGTAGAGCAGGGCAGCATATCCAGCCACTGCCTCTCAAGTCATGTCCTCAATGTTCTGTTTTGGCCAAGGCCTTGGTCAAACCACCAAGAACCTTCTGGAGCACCTCCCACGACACAGAGCCCTAAAGCACAGCAACCCTGCCCGAGGGCCCTCCTCACACTCCTCCAGCTAAACGTCCCTTCAGGGACACCCAGGCCTGTTGCAGGTGCCTGTTGTGCATGGGGTGGGAGGCAAACTACTCAGCTGGAAGGCACCTGTTTCAGACCATTGGCAGAACCACCCCTCACTTCCACTGCTCATTTCCTGCTAATGTAGCATGGTCTCAAGGTCACTGTCTGCTGCATGAAGGGTCAACCTTGCCCAAAGCAGTTCTGGCCTTTGTCTTCAGTTCCAGGCACAGAACCTGGGACATCCTTCCACCAAAGGGGGTGGTCTGTTTCCCTGAGGCCTTGAGCTGTGTGGGATGCTACAATGTGATTTATGCTGGGGTTTGGGGCCATGGGGGTCAGCTAGACCTCTGGAGATACCAGAGACAGACCCCAAGCAAAGTCCTGGGCACCCGGACCTGGGAGAAGTCCCTGGGCACTTGAACCTGGTCTCTCCTGACCCTATCCCAGCGCCTCTGCCCTCCCCTGGGGTTGCTCGGAATCTATCCCATCCTACATCAGCTTTGCTGAGGTCCGAGTTCCAGTGAACTGTTGGCCTCGGGAGTGAAGTTAGGGACCCCACCCATACAGCCCGTCTCTGCCTCTGGTTGACACCCGAGAGCAGGGTTTTGGGCTCTGCCTGATAAGTCCTGAATACCCGAGGGCGGGTGACGGGCACAGAATAGCCCAGCACTCACCTCCACTGTAGCTGCAGCTTGCAGGGCCCACAGGAGGGTGCAGCCCTCGGGATGACACGGTGTTCCCGTAGCCTCCGTTCTGCTCCAGGAGCTGTGATGATTGGAATACACACATAGGCTCTGCAGACACTAGAATAGTCACCACACTCATCCCACGTCGTGGAAACACCACGTGCCACCCTCCTCCACCTGACCTACTATAAGTGCATGGAAGGACTACCCCAAGGCTAAATAATCACTCCAACCAAAGGGCAGCCACACCCACCAAGCAAAGCCAAGCCAAAGCTCGGGGAACACCCGGTAACAGAGAAAGCAGCTGCATCGCTGCACCCAGGTGCCCACCATTTGGTCCTGTTCACAATACACAGCAGTTTCCAGATTCTTGGGCTACAGATTCTATTCTCCCATTTTCCCCCATCTGCTCAACCATCATAAACAGACACACTGCATGTGCATCCCAGAACAGTCTATCACTTCAGGTCCTGGGTTCAGGGCCTCTGCGGCCACCCCATGTGCCTCGCTACCTCTGAAGAACAGTATTTTTACTCTACTGCAAGCTTAGTCCCGCGGTGAACTGTATTTTCTGCAGGAGTCGGTTGACCCCAAGCAGGGGTTTAGTGCTTGTCCCTGTGAGTCCTAGCCTAGAAACGCCAAGAAAGAAGTGCTCAGGCAGCCCACCGGCCAGTGGTCTACATCTGTCCATCTGTTTAGTAGCACCTCCTCTCACTGCACCAAATCCTACCAGCCACCCAATCAGGAGCATGCCATACCTCCCCCAAAGCCCAGCGCTCCCATGACCTCTGGGAGCCAGCAGATGTTTGTCAAGGGTCAGTGGGAGCAGGAGGTGGGTCCAGGCTGCCCCACACAGAGCTTGATAGCCTAGAAGGGTCTCCCCGTCCGTTCTCCCTAAAACCAACCCCCAGGAAGACTCGTTGATGAGGTCACAACATCAATTCTCCAACCAAAGAGCACCTGGTACCTCAAAAGGCCTCCTGTTCTCAGCGTCGGAGCTCCTTCATGGGCACCCCTCACTGGCCCTGGCCACCAGAGGTAGGCACCTCCCCTCATGCTCAGCATCCTGTGGCTTCCTGAGCCCAGGTCTGCGTGTACATGGCCACTCCCACAGAAAGTGCAAATCCTTGGCTCACCCAAACCCACCTCTTCCCTCCCACAGAGTCCCGCCCTCAATGAGGACTCAACTTTCCACATCCTACATGCCCCTGAGCACCACAGCCAGCTCCTTGACCAGCCCACTCCAGTGGCCCCTGGATCCTGCTTCTAGCGATGATGCAGTGAAAACAACCCAACACTGACCAGTGGACAAAACACAGGAACCAAGAGCTCTAGATCCCTGAACATAGGTCCCCGAGGACAGAGGCCTCCTTGTAGGAGACGGAGCCAGGTGGCTAGAATTTGTGAACAGAGCAGAGGGCCTCTGGAGGCCCTAGGGGGCCCCACAAGTCCCAACTTACCCTAAGCTGTGTGCACAGGCAGGGGAATCCCAAAGACATCCTGAGACCCACCTGCTCCCCAAGTGTGGGACACACCTCGTGTCAGCTCATAGCTCACTGAGAATCTGGTAAGGGTGATGGCCCTGCCCGTAGCTAGGTCAGAGACGACCAGGAAGATGTCTTTGGTTAATGCACTCCATTGCCTCCTTGGTCCACCCACTCCCAGAGCTGCCTCAGTCCAACTGCCCGCAGGTCCTGCTACCAATTGCTACATATGCCTGGGAGGAGACCTGGGTCCAGCCCTGAGACTACAGCAGCCAAGAGGTCTCGCGCACACGACAGGTTGGGTCAGCCTGAATGCCAGACCCCCTGTCAGGTTGGGGGAATAACAGAAAGGTGTCTGTGGAGCTCATCAGGCCAGGAACAGCATCCAGACCTCAGGCTCTGAGCACCCCAGGCATGCTCCTGGGTGTTGCCCAGGCTGGGCTTCCCTGCACAAGCCTATAGGACAGCCTCACCTCGGTGATGGGTGCCTTGGGGTTCACGTTCCGGGCAGCTGCGATCTCCTGCAGCTGGTGCACCACCTCGGAGATGGAAAGCCGCTCCTCTGGGTTGACCTTCAGCGTGGCACCTGTGGCAGAGGTAGCGCTCAACCCTATGCAGCCCAGTGTAGGCCACACCCTGCCATGGCCGAGGTCATAGACCACAGAAGGCCACTCCCTTTACACCCACCACTGACTTTAAAACTAGTGACAAGAGCAAAGGGAGGAGCAACAGTAACACAGAGCAAAACCCTCAAAGCCACCACTCAGAGCACCATGACTTGTGCTCTGTGGAAAAGCCTTCCAGGGACACTGCCGCACCATGCACCCACCCCAGGCACTCACGAATGAGGTCGTGGAAGACGGTGTAGCGGGTGTCGTTGAGAGGGATCGAGTACTTCCCATTGACAATTCGAAGTTTTGCACCATCCTCAAAAGGATGTTGCCGGAAGCACAGCAGGTACAAGATGCAGCCCAGGGCCTATGGGGAGAACGGAGGCTGAGCACAGGGCCTGCAGAGACAAGGGCATGGACAGGCACCTGGGGCAGAGGAGCAGCCGTGGGGTTGCCCCTTCCTCAGGGATCCTTGGGACAATTAATGGGAGTCCAGAGTCTGATTAACTTTAGGTTACATGCTGGTCGTGACATGTGTCACACTGGCTGAGCAGATGGGGCCTCTTAGAACATGGGACACCTTGATCTTGCCATCCTTACCTATCACAAAGGTGGGTGACAGAAGTAAGCAAATTCCAAAGGTAAGATCCAAAGTCCCTTTACACAGTAAATGGTTGCCCCTTCATGCACTCAAGTCAGTGCTGTGTGAGGGGCAGGCACCCATCCCGAGTCAGCAGAGTGACTCGCTCAACACTAAGCACAGGTGCACCAGGAAGACACCAGGAGAGAAGCCTGCAGATCAGCAGGGACTGCATAGATGCAGCCCAGGATGAAAGCCCTGCTCATGGTTCATTCTACAACATTTGGACACATGAGCCTCAAGGGGCCATTGGTTACTGAACGTCATGCTCTCAACCAGCAAGAATCAGTGCTGACCCTGGGCCCCGGACAGGGAAAGGCCAGGAATGTCCAGGCAGGCGTGTGCAGAAGGACAGTCACAGGAAAGCTGATGAACACGCATGTAGGCCCTGTCATTCCACACATTTCAGAGGACAATGGTCTCAACCTACACCCTAGGTCACACAGCAGCATGTGCACAATGGGGTCGGTCCCAACATGGTGATGCCGCCACCAGGGTCAGCTTGGTTTAGCTGACATACTGCTGTCCCTATCCCTAGGTGAATGCTGGTGGCTCTGGCCATAGCAGGGAGGGCACAAGCGCACCTGGGGCTGAGTGAAGGGGTGAGGGGTACTGGAGGAGTACAGCTGGATATGTTGCAGGGTATGGATGCAAGATGAGAAATATTGCTGGTGTATAACTTTTCCCCTGAAATGTTTGTTTTTTCCACCCAGTCACTGGTGCTGCCCTTGGTTGACAGGGATGTGGCCTTGGAAAGACGCAGGAAGGAGGGAATGGACAGAAGCCCCCAGGCAGGCTCTGACCAGGAAAGCCCAGCACGTGCCAGGACCAGGTGTGGCAGGGCCACTCCTGGGTCAGGAGCTCATGGTCAGATGCACAGGCCAGAGACACACAGACCTGCAGACTCAGGTGACTGAGCCCCATGGGACTCAGCCCACTCAGTTGCACATGGATACCAAAGGCCTCTGCTTAATTCATTGCCACTGAAAGCAGTGACTCTCAGGGAAAGGAAGGCGAGGTAAGGGAAGATGAAGAAGAGAGGCTGAGGAGGTGGGCTGCTCTGGAGCTTAGCCTGGCAGCTGCCTTCACCCCAAATGGATGGGGTCACCAGGTGCCAGGAGGGAGAGGTACCAGGACCTCACCCAGATATCCTGCTTCTCGCCGATCGGGAAGTTCGAGTACAAGTCTATGATCTCTGGCGTCCTATACATTGGTGTTGTATTCCTCGTAATCTGAGGGAAAAAACCAAACATTTCAAAGGAAAAGTTATACACCAGCAATATTTCTCATCTTGCATCCATATCCTGTGACTCTCAAATGCACACAGCAGACTGGGGGAGCTCTATCCCCCACTGTGCCCAGAAAAACCTCGGACCACCCAGCTCCCCACTGGACACCGCCACTGCTGTTATCTTCTTCTCACTCAGTTCTCCAGAAGTGAACTGAATCACCCATTTCCACGAATCTCTAATGGCCTCCCTCATCTAATAGAACCCCGTGCCAAGCATTCATCTGCCAGTACCCATGTGGTTTGGGCAGGAGAGGTCTGTGTCTCCCAACCTGAGAGCCCCTCCAGCACAGCTGCACATGGCAGCATCTGGATTACTCTAGTGAACTGGAAGCACTAAAAGAAGCTTCCAGATGAGTTCTAGAGGAGGACATGGAAGACTTCTGTAACAGGAGAAATGCCAACCAAATGTACTCGTTTGTGTCAGGTTTAAAATCTGAGAGGCCACAAACAGAGAGACATGTGATAAGTGAAGACCTAGGGTAAACATCCACTCATGTCTGCAGATTCACACAGGAGCCACATGCAGGGGCCTTAGCAGTCACACGGCAGGACAGCACCGCAGCCCTGGGCAGCTAATGGCTCCTCAGAATGGAAACCTGAGAAGGAACAGCAAGCAGGACTCACTGTCCTCTGCTGAAGACCTGCTGCTTGAGAGGCCTCACCAAGGATGGCAAATGGCCAGCTATGAACCAGAGGACAGGTACAAGAGCCTCAAGCAAAGGCAGAAGTAACTCTTATAAGCCTGAGGGAGGCTGACCAACTAACTGGTGGGCAGGAGATACATACCTACCTGGAGAGACTATGGGGGGAGGGCTCGAGAAATGAGGAGTGTGGTCACAAAGCTACTGCTTTAAACTCAATTTTCCTAAAGACCTAAACAGCTCTAAAAAGTTAGGTCTATTAATTTAAATGAACATAAGCCAAATGTATTTCAAGTGAGCAACAGAACCTCAATGAAAGAAAAAACACACAATCCAGAAACCTGGGAGCACAGCACTCGGCAGCCATCTTTGGACTTGGCTGCAAGTGAGTGGGAGAGGGGAGAAGACAGCAAACAGCTCTGGGCTTTGGGCAGGTCTGTCTCCTCAGTGCAATGTGGGTGGCCCAAGACACTCCACTGCAAGGGAATGAGACCAGGTGGTGGCCCGTGGGACCAGCTGGAGGTGTTGGCACAGGCCTGGGACTTCAACCCAAGGACAGGCGTGTGCAGCACGCAGTGTGTACACCTGTGTGTGCAGTGTACAGCACATCTGCTCAGACGGCCTGGGGGCCCAGGACATCCCACATTCTAGAGAGCAGACAAGGGCCGCAAAACCATGGGAGAGCAAAGGGACACAGGGCCGCTGTGAAACAGATCTGGGACATTGTGGCACCAAAATAATCAAGGACAGAATGAGTCACACCCATGAAGAAATGGCATGGAGAGTCCTCATGAATACTAAACACATGCGTGGGTGCAGGGGCACCCACCATGGAGGCAGTGCAGAGACAGTTCAGGAGGTGCCGCCACTGAGTAGGTCACAGGGCACAGAGGAGACTGGGAGGACAAATTGTTTAGCCTACGCCCTAGTCCAGTCTCAGTTCACACGGCCCAGGTCCTTCCTCAGTTCACAAAGACCCAGTTTAGGGATGCCCATGTGTGGCCCTCCACCTGGTGTGACATGTGGGAAAGTAAAATGCTTGCAGGCTTGCAGGTAATCTAAGACTTCCGATCTACTGGTGAGTCCCAGGGAGAAGAGAAACCCTCCACTCAATGAACCTGTTTCTTGCTGGGGAGCAGGCAGGAATGTCCTTAAGACACCACACAGGAGGAGCAAGCCCAGGAGGCAGTCAGGCCTCTTCTCACATGGGGCCTGCGGCACCCAGCGCCATCCTGTGAAAGGAGACCTGGCCTTGGTTCCAGAGCCCCACCCCATGCCCTTGTGGCTATTTTCTGCTGTGTTGTTCCTACGATTCATGTTGACTTTCTATGAGGCATCAGCTACCTCGAGAAAATACACAACTTGAAAGTGAACAGCTTGGGGAGGTTTCAAAGTGGATGCCTGATGGGTCTCCAGCACTTGCGTCCGGGAGCCTCTGTGCCCCACAGTGTCTGCTCTCTGCCCTCCTTGGTACCCCTTCCCAAGACTGATGCTGAGGGCTGGCCTTCCCAGCTCCTACCTCCCTTCTGTCTGGTGCCTTTCCCTTGGGCACACTGTGGACCCCGCCCATGACACTCACACCCCAATAGGGGTCAGCTCAGTCCACACCACCCACACCCCAGCAGGGGTCTCCTGAACAGAGCCACCAAGTCTCCTGTAAAGATATATTTCTAAACAATCATTTAAAAAAATAGTCATATTTTGTTAGCTAACAACATTCTAGAGATGGACAGTGGTGATGCATGACCCTGAAATTGCTCAATGCCACCAAACTGTCTACTTACAGATGACAGATTTTGTTATGTATATCTTCCCATGATTTAAAAAAAAAAAAAGAATAAAAGCCATAAGATGTTCAGAGCCAGGTCTGGGAAAGAAGAGTGAGATGAAAGGTGGAATTCCAGCACTGAGGGTCTGGAGGAGACCAGGCCCCGACACACGGTGGCCTTGGCACATAGGGCCAGCGGCAGGTCTGTGCTCAGAGAATGCAGTGGGAAGAGCAGGGCAGAAGAGAGTGACGAAGGGACCCCTTGGGCACAGGCTCCAGCGGCGCACTCACCTCTTCCTCCACCAGGGCTCGCTTCTGGGCGCTCCAGCTATAGTCAGGGTAGTGTGAGATGGTTGTAGCACTGCCAAAGTCACACAGCTTAATGGTTCCCTGGTTACTAAGCAACAAGTTTTCAACCTGCAAAATTCCAGAAGACAGTCCTTATGAACATGGTGTAAACAGAGACTGGATGTCAGGAAAAACAAACAGGAAGAGACTCAGCCAGGCCCTTCATAGACAGCCCCCTCTGCCCAAGGTCAAGCCTACTGGGCCACCCTGAAGATGTGGAAACCCACAGCGCCCCACGTGCAGATGCAGCCAGCCCTGTGCCAGAGAGCAGGGGTGGGAGCTGCTCCAGGTCTGGGTGGAGACACTGAGAGGGGTCCACCCTGAGAGGAAGGCCCAAGAATGAGGCAGGAACTCACAGGTCAGCACAGGAGTCTTTCTCAGAGGGGAGATACATGATGCCTTATATTCTTTCTGATCAAAATCAATGTAAGTACTTTTAAAAAATGTGAAATTCAGAAAAATGAAAGGAAGAAAGTTAAAAATCAACCATAAATCAAAGACAACTCCAACACACAATGAAAGCCTTCAGAAGAGTCAGAAGACAAAAATAAGTTAACATGCTATATATAACTATGTTGACTATAATAAGAATCGAGAAATAAATTGAACCAAAGGTAGACAAAAGACCTCCCATGCAGAAAATGATCAAATAATTGAAATTAACATTTAAATCTAAAATAAGTAAGGAGCTCTACCAGGCTCCCAAAAGGTCAGGCCCGTATCCTGCCCTGGTTACCAGGCAGGGCAAGCAACCCAGCTTGTGTATGGCCTGGAAGCTAGGAATGTTTTTCACACTTTTAAGTAGCTGGGAGAAAATCAAAAGAGACTAATGTTTCAGGACTCATGAAAATCACATGAAGCCCAAATTCCAGTCTACAAATAAAATCTTATCAGCACATGGCCATGCCCACTCATCACCCACGACATAGCTGAGGAGTTTCAAAGAAACCATGTGGCTGCAGAGTTAAACACTGAAAATGGAAAAAGTCTGTCAACCCCAGCTCTGGAGAGAATCACAGCAATTCCAGTTAAATTCCCAAACGTGGCTGGGCGCATAGGCTCATGCCTATAATCCCAGCATTTTGGGAGGCCGAGGTGAGAGGATTGCCTGAGCCCATGGATTCGACCAGCCTGGGCAACTTGGCAAGACCGCATCTCTCCAATAAATCAAAAAATTAGCTGGGCATGGTGGCGTGCATCTGTAGTCCCGACTACTTGGAATGCTAAGGTGGAAGGATCACCTGAGCCCAGTAGGTCAAAGCTGCGGTAGCCATGAGCATGCCACTGTACTCCAGCCTGGGCGACAGAGTAAGACTCCAACGCAAAAAAAAAAAAAAAAAAAAAAGCCGGGCTCGGTGGCTCAGCCTGTAATTCCGCGCTTTTGGGAGGCTGAGGTGAGTGGATTGCCTGAGCCTGTGGGTTCGTGACCTGCCTGGGCAACTTGGTGAGACCTCATCTCTACAATAAATCAAAATGAGCTGGGCATGGTAGCATGCGCCTGTAGTTCCAGCTACTTGGAAGGCTGAGGCAGAAGGATCGCCGGAGTCCAGCAGGTCGATGCTGCGGTGGCCGGAAGCGGCCACTGCACTCCAGTCTGGGTGACAGAGTGAGACTCCAACTCAAAAAAAAAAAAAAAAAAAAAAAAAAAAATTACATGAAAATACAAAGAGCCACAAGGGCCACACAAGAATTTTGGAGACCACTTATAAACCCCATTGTAAAGGACAAAGGAAAATCCAACCAGCACCGCCAAGACAGCCACTGAGACAGAACTACAGACATCAAATGCCACTCTCATGGTAAGGTGGCACTGTGGGACGTGGAGAGGAGGTGACATGGCCTGGAGAACCAGGCACTCACAAGGAAGAAAAGAAAGCCCTACCCCCAACCCCCCATAATCAACCAAGGTATCTCACCCCAAACATTAGGGCAAAACCACAAATCACTTAGGAGATAACACATGGGCACATGCTCCTGACCCAGGGAAGGTGACAATCTTCGCATAAGACATAGCATGAATGTGAGGTAGTGACAGCAGAACGTCCAGGCTGAAGTGCAAGCCATGGAAGAGAAAAGAGGTGACACACACATGACCACGAGGGTCTCCAGTCAGTAAGAAAAGATGACTCAACAGGAAAACCAGCAAAACATTTAACAAGTATGTCCCCCAAAAGGAAATCCAACTCCAGTGCACACATGTAAAGACGGCCAGCATCCCTAGCAGAGGAAAGTGCTAACTAGAACCATGTGTCCCATCCATCTGCTGAGGGTAAAGAGCCCTCAACACCAGGGTTGGCAGATCAAGGAGCCACTTGTGGACAAGTGCAGAAGAGATATCCAGCACTGGAGAGGCAAACGCCCTTCAACCACGGCACTCCACAAGCCCTATCCCACAGAGGACACTTGGACTAGCAGCCATACAGCCCGTGTACAGGGTGCAGATGGCAGGCTCACCATACACATGGACGCCATGCCACCACAAGCAGAGCCAGGTCAATGCTGAGCAGTGTGTGCCCAAAGGACATAGGGTCACACACACAGCAGGGACTCAAAATCACAGTCTGAGCAAAAGCAGCTGGACACAAATGTATGTGAGATGAGTGATTCCACTCACATAACGTCCAAGGCAGTAACATAAACTACACTGAAGGACGCAGAGCACATAGCAAAAAAGTCATACAAGCCCATCGTCACTAGTGTGAAGAGAGTGCCCTCCATAGCGGGAGGGCCTGTAGGGTCATCCTGTGCTTGCCCATTTGCCCATCTCATAGCCTACAGAGCTGAGGTGTGCACACCACAGGACAAGGGGAGGGCAGTCGATGTGGGGCCACGTGTCCTGCATGCTCCTCTGCAAATCACGCTCAGTTCCTACCCATAGGACCGCCACCGTGGAGCAGCAGGCACATGTCACTAGGAAGATGAGAGGTGTCAGCAGACCAACCTCACAAATATGGAGTCTTCCTAATTTCACACTTTTGGGTTTTTACTTTCCTTAAAACATGCACACAAGCACATGCAACACAACCCATCACACCTTAAAAGCATAACCAAGCCAGGCACAGTGGCTCACGTCTATAATCCCAGCAATTTGGGAGGCAGAGGCGAGAGGATTGTCTGAGCTCAGGGGTTGGAAATCAGTCTGGTCAACTTAGTGAGACCTTATCTCTACAATAAATAAAAAATTTAGCCAGGTGTGGTGGCATGCACTTGTAGATCCAACTACTTGGAAGGCTGCGGTGGAAGGATCACCTGATTACGGCAGGTTGAGGCTGCAATGGCCATGAGCATACCACTGCACTCCACCCTGGGCAACAGAGTGAGATTCCAACTTAAAAAAAAAAAAAGCCACAAGAAAATCCACCACTCAGGGTCTCCTGAAGACCCACCCAAATGGCAAATCCACCACTCAGGGTCTCCTGAAGAACCACCCAAATTCCCTTACTCCATGTTACAAACAGGCCTTAAGCACCGGAAAAATTGAATCTGGAAAAATCTTCCTGCTGGGAACTAGGAGTGCTAGACAGAGTGATTTTAGAGAAAAACAGAAGAAACAGAGGGAAGGAGCAGGGAGGGGAAGGGACAAAAGGAAAAGGGTTTCTGGCATTGCCCAGAAGCAGGCAGGACTTGGTGTCTGTGGGCATCCACTGAGGCACAACTACGGGGCGGGGGGACTGGACCTTGCAGGTTCCTATGACGGGAGTACCTTCCAATCAGTCACCACCCTGGTTTACTAGGTCTCCCTGAGTTCAGGGGACAAATGAAAAAGGTCACAGTCACCCAGAGACCAAAACCTAAATGAAGATGCCTTTCCTATAAGGTAGGATTCCCAGTGTAAGGCAAAGCAGAAAAAACTGTGGGCTAGGGTGGAATGAGAAAGGGAGGGCAGAACCCCCTAGCTCCAGGAGCAGCTGCCTTGGCCCATTCCTACTTGGAACATTCGAGGCCAGAGCTGCAGTGCCCAGGAGTCTGTGTGCACGCAAGTGCCAACATGTGGGGATATGATATTAAGTCTGAGCTGCACCACTCATGCTACCCCCCCAGGGATGTACAGACCACAGGGAGAAGAGGCCAGGCCCCGGTGGCCGCATGGACAGATGGCGCTAGGTGCAGGTCAGGTCCTACTTCACATCACACAGAGTCAACTCCAGGTGGACAAAATTCCCCAACCCGGGAAAGGGTGACCAGCATCACAAAAGAATGATTGGAAGGGAGTGGAGGCATAGGACCTGAATCATAGCTCTCTGCTCTCCAAGAGACACATGGGGGCAATGGCCTCACTGGCCTTGCTGTTCCCTCTGTGCAGGGGGCCTGTTCTAGACTAACGAGTTTAGAGAGAGACCAGAATGGAGAAAACTGGGGAAGGCTGGGGACAGACGGGCAAGAGATGACACTGAGATACTGTCACTGTGCTGGGGGATAACGGAGCTGTCACTATGTAAGAAACATCCTGATTTCCCCCCAGAGACATGGATACTAGCATCTAGGTGTAAAGTGGCTTTAAAACTCCTCAGCAAAAGCAACCTACTTTGGCAAGGAGGGAGAGGCTACCAGGTGGGAGTTGGGGCACAGCTTTGTGGGTACTGGGTAGGCCTCACAAAGTCTTTAAAGACCCAACAGGGAGAATAAAAACTAGGACCTAAGTTAGAAGAAGAGATCTTTAGCACATACAACTCTAAAAAGATTATTATAAGAATATAAGAGAGTTCCCATGAATCAAGCCAACAGAAAAAAGAACAAAAAACAAAAATGAAGTTAACTGAAGAACAAGGCAGTGATGACCACAGCACAACATTCAATTCTACTAGTCATCAGGAAAAGGCAAAATCACAACACTCAAGACCCCAATACTTCACCAGTCTGGTCAAAATTAAAAAGGATCACTCCACACATGGTCACCCCTGGAGGCAGAAGTGTCTCCACTGGACTGTGGGAGGCAGCCTTGCTGTCTAGAAAGTGCGGTGGTGCTGGCAGTAGCATCTACCATGGGCACAGCCACAGCCCGGAAGCGACCACGGGTACAGTCACAGTCTGGAAGCCCGTGCACACAACCCACAGAGCAGTCTTCCTACAGGGGCAGTGGACTCGCCCAACTTCATAGCAGCACCTGGGCCAAGAACTGTCCCAAGGGCCAAGAAAAGGGAGTGCAGTGCCCCTGACCTCCCACACCATGGGCATGCATCCATACCCACAAGGCACCAGAAAGAGCAAGACCCATCATAGGGACAGGGAATCCAGGATGGAGTCCAGTTAGAGCTAGGGGAGGACAGCAGGGCTGCAGGCACCCCCACCACATGGGGGCACCCTCTTTCAGCAAAGTCCTATGAGGTGGAAAAATGCAGGGAAAGGGAAGCTTCTGAAAGACCCATTCACAATGTTCAGAAGCTCTCATGTACATCTTCTCAGATTTCCCAAATAAAGCACAAAGCCTCACCTGCTAACAAGTCCTGACACCCTACACTAGCCAGGTCAACAGCACAAGTGCAGTCTGGTAAGAACGTGTGGAGTGTGCCGTACCTTGAGGTCCCTGTGGATGATGGGTGGTTTCTGTTTGTGCATATGCTGCACCGCGCGGCATGTCTGGTAGAAAATCTTCAGGATGGTGTCACATGACAAAGGACCTTTAGATTCCACTTTCTTTAAAAACTCCACCAGCTGCCCTAAAAGAGAATTCAGTCACATCACCATGGAGCGACCAGCGCTGTGCCCTCCACAGACAGCAGCCTAAGGTTCTGGACTCACTCACGCTGGCTGCCGGGACATGCTGCTTCTTCTGACACCCAGTCCGGGCAGAGCCCACCCAGCTGCACCAGACTTCCTGCAGCTGCTGTGGAACAGTTCACGGGTACCAGCAGCACTGTGTGTGACACCACCTCCCAGCAGCAAGGGTGGGCATGGAGCAGCATGTGGCCTAGTCACAGACCCTATATGGAAACCAGCTCCTGCAGTCACACAGAGCAGTGACCAGAGACACACAACGTCCCAGCACTGCCAGGGAGATGCCACAAGGCATGTTGCTACTGTGGAATGCTACGGCGTGTTCCACACAAAGAGAAATGACACAAACACACAAACTTTTCCCATCTCTCTAAAGAAATTCTATCTGCCCTTAGATAACTAATGGTTGTTTACCCATTAGCATCAAGTTTCAACCTAAGTGTGAGACACTGCATGTGCAGGCTATGAGCGACCAGTGCAGAAGACACCCCAGGGACCCAGCTGCTGTACCTGGTGCCTTCCAGGCACCTCAGCCCTGGCCCAGACCAGGAAACCTGGGATCTTGGACTCAGCACCAAGCACAGGACTAAGAGCAGGCGAGGGACTCCCCGCCTACCACAGAGCCTCCACACACATTTGATGGGCCCGTCCTGGTTCCCTCACCTCTGCCAGATCCACCTGGCTCTCAACACAGCTGAACCAGGCCTCTATCAGCCCATCAACCCTGCTTCCCAGGCTCTGCACCCTACCCTTATAGGAATGAGGGGCCCTCAGGAGAAATAGGGAGGACTCTCAAGGAGGAATGGGGGGCCTTCAGGAAGAACAGGAGGGCCCTCAGAGGAATGGGGAGGGCTCTCAGGAGGAATGGGGAGGATTCTCAGGAGGAATGGGGGCCCTCAAAAAGAATGGGGGACCTCAGGATGAGGGGCCTTAGAAGGAACAGGGGTGCCCTAGGGAGGAAGGGGACCCTTGGAGGAAGCAGAGACTCAGAAAGAGAAGACAGGCCAGGGTGAGACTGGGTCCAGGCCCGGGGTGAGCAGGGTGACAAGATGACCCCAGGCTGGCATAGGTATGGGGCAGGATGGGTGGGTTGGGGCAAGTCGTGATGGCAGTAGTAACTGAACTGTGTTTGGCAGCAAATGCTTGGTGAGCACGACATGGGTTTTTTAAAGCAAGAATTTTGTGTAGGGCATAACAGAGACGGGCTAAACAGCACTTCCTTCCTGCAGGGGGCCTCAGGCAAGCTGCCCCACAAGAGGGCTGAACTCATCTCCGAGCCCACCTCAAGGCTTCCTCCAGCCAGCCCTATCCCTGCTGCTCTGTGGGATCCCTGCCTTGCTCCTCAGGGACCAGCACCTTTCCCCATCCTGGCAACCCTGCCAGCACAGCCATGCCACCATGGTAACCAGCATCCAGCTCTCTAGCTGGCACCACTCTGACAGGTGGGTCCGGGAGCAACCCTGCACAAGCACACATCTTCCTTCATTCACCTTGTGGTAACTGCAACCTTGGGACCACAGGGCAACCACAGGAGTGTGGACTTGCAGCACTGGATTGCAGGTCCACCCTCTCCTTCCCACCTAGCCCCTGCAGGGACAGTGCTTGAGCTGCTGACCCTATGTCCCATCCTGCCATTCCCTCAATCATACCATCTTGGAACGTGCCGGACGTCAGCTTCAAGTACCACACAAATTCTGCTCAAACCTTATAAAACCAAGATTCTCAGCATACTCCAAGAGAAGGAGGGTTACCAGCACTCCTTTCTCCACCCTGCACTACAACCATCCACGGGAGGCCCTGGCTGCTGCCCCAGCTGCCACTGGAGACAGACGATGAGACCCTCCAGCCCAGATGGCCAGCCCATTCCTCCACGGAGACAAATGTACTTTTTGAGAGGAGACATGGGAAATACTTCCCGATTGTTCAGATGTGGGGAAACATCAACCCTGCCTCTGAGGGACAGTACCTTTACAGAGCTCTGTGAGCAGGAGGAACTCAGCCTGCCCCGTGTCTGACTCTTCCTTTCCTATGGATGCTGCAGAACAAAACTGGACAATGTTGGGGTGGCCAGAAAGTTTTTTCTGCAGGTGTCTTGTTAAAGGAGAATGTGCATAAACCATGTTCATAATCCCATGCACTTAAAAATAAACGTATAAAATATCAAGACACTAAAGTCCTAATACTTGAACTAAATTGCCTTACAATTATAGACATCAGAGCAGAAAGAAGAGACAGAGAGCAGGTGGGGGACCAGAAAAAGGCAGAAGAGTGAGGGAGAAGAGTGGCAGAAGAGAGGGTGGAGAAAACGACAGGCACGATGACCACACACACCTGACCACACCAACACCAGGGTCCATCCTGCGCCAGGTGGGACAGGTGGAGGGCCCTCAGGAGCTCTGCTGCAGGGAGGCTTGAAGAGTGACCATGTCCACCCAAACCCTGGCTCAGGTGGCCAGCGGGCTCTCAGGGTGGACAGAGCTTGGAAAGAAGAAAGAAGCAGGTTCTGGTAGCAGCAAAGGCCAAGGCCCCACACTCAGGGAGGTCCTGGGTGCTGAGAGATATCAGCAGACAGCCCCCTCTACCCTCCACCGTGCAGGGACACCCTGGCCCAAGTGCATTCTGGGCAGTGTGAGAGGAAGCAGCAAGGAGAGACCATGCTGAGGTCATCAGAACACAGCCAGTGGCACACCTCTCAGCCAGGTGTTAGGGGTTCCTGGTAAGCAGTCCACCCGCTGGCAAACAACAACTCCGTTCCCAACATTCCCGAACCTTTTACTATGACCCCAGTAGTAAAGAACAGTGAAAAAACTCTTTCTTACTAGAAATCATCTACGGTTAAGTTTAATAAAAGCAAAAGGCCAATTTTAACACATCAAACACAGCGTCACACAAGAGCCTCCTGGCAGCTGGCAGTCACAGCTTGAGGCAGGCTCATACCATCCTAAGTGACAGCACTGGCTCTCAGTCCCAGGAAAAGGATACCATGAAGCACACTTCTTGAATGATGGCTCTGTTCTTTTCCTCTTCATTGGACAGTAACCTCTGTATCAGGAAATTGCACAGAAAGATTAGAGACAGTCACCTTTCCACTGTACATAGTGCCTTATCTCAGACAGAAACACCCAAGAGAAATGATGAGAAAGTACAACCTATGCCCTCTGTTTTCACATCTGACCTGTGCAAAAAAGGAGGTTAGAGACCCTTAAAAGATCCTTATCATCCAAGGACACAAGAAAAACAAAAATAGGAACCTTTCCTCTAGACAGGCCAGAATAAAATAAGACAAACAAGATACACAAGAGGAGACACTCTGCAGAGATGCAAGCATATTCTATGGACACCAAAACCAGGCCTTCACAGTCCACTCTTGAGTGCAGGGCTACCCGAATGCCCAGCATGGCAACTACCTTCAGCAAGTGGAGTGTTCTGACATGTCTCAGGCAAAACCAGAGCCACTCAGCCCAGCACCAGGTGGAACAGACCCCTCCCACCATGATCCCTGCTTACAGATAAGCTGTGCACATATATGCTTTTATGAGTGGCTTTTAAACTCCTCATATTCGTCAAGCCCTTATTTTGACACATGGAGGCCAAGCGGCTATGATCCCACCATGAAGTCACCCTCACTCTTCTCTCCAGGCAGTTGGCAGGCAGGGCCCAAGGGAGTCTATAACCCAGAGCTGTAGACCAGGCTCCAAGGGGTGCCCTGAGAACACAGCATCTAAAACTGCTGCCATCAGAAGAAACAAACAGAAAAAGTACATAAGAACTGAAGAAAAGGAACAAGCTAAACAACAGGGACACATCTCTGAAAACACTGCCACTCATAGGTTTCCTTTACAATACACTGAAAATGATATCAGAATGTCAAATTGTTGTTACCTTTAATGCGTACTCTCTGCCACTTCCCAGGTCTTGAGCTTCATAAACAAATGCAAACCCTCCTGAAAATCAAAAATACTTATTAGTCCAGTGCTATAGTTTACTTAACATATGAAGCTTAAAAAGCATCTTTACCAAGTAAAATGCAAACCTGACTTGTGGCTGTGGCCAGCAATTTGTTTTCCACAAAAAATAGCAGCCCTCCTCCAGGCACAGTGGTTCACGCCCATAATCCCAGCACCCTGGGAGGCCAAGGCCGGAGGATCACTTGAGCCCAGGAGTTTACCAACCTAGGCAACACAATGAGACCTTGTCTCTACTTGTCTCTACAAAAAAAATGTAAAAATTAGCTGAGCGTGGTGGTGTGCACCTGTAGTCCCAGCTACTTGGAGGACTAAAGTGGAAGGATTGCCTGAGCCCAGGAGGTCAAGGCTATAGTAGTCGTGATTATGCCACTGCATTCCAGCCTACAACGGAGTGAGACCCTGACTCAAAAAAACAAAACAAAACAAAAAAAATAAAGCCCCAAATTGTACACCACTGTCTTGTACATGTTCTGCTTCAGAGACAGGAAGAAAATAAACCTAAGAACAGATTAACGAAGGGGAAAAAATAGAGAAAATTAGCAAAGCCAAAAACAGTTTTCTGAAAATAATTAAAACAGTATATGCTAGATGGGCTGATCAAAGTAAGGAGAAAGACTGACATAGAGGATAAATTACCAATATCTAGAATAAGAAAGGTGACCTCATTACCCTAATGTCCACAAGTGAGAAAACATTAATAGTAAAGATTAACATCACTCATGAATATAGACCAAAGAATTCTTTTTTTTTTTTTTTTTTTGAGTCAGGGTCTCACTTTGTGGCCCAGGTTAGAGTACAATCATGGCTCACCCACAGCCTCAACCTCCTGGGCTCAGGTGATCCTCCCACCTCAGCCTTCCAAGTTAGCTGAGACTACAGGTATGTGTCACCACACCCTGCTAATTTTTTAAATATTTTGTAGAAACCCATCTCACTATGTTGTCTGGGCTGGTCTCCAACTCCTGGACTCAAGCAATCTTCCCACCTCAGCCTCCCAAAGTGCTGGCATTATAGACATAAGCCACCATGCCCAGCTGACCAAAGAATCCTTAATAAATTATTCTTTTTTTTTTTTTTTGAGTTGGAATCTCACTCTGTCGCCCAGACTGGAGTGCAGTGGCCGCTCCCAGCCACCGCAGCCTCGACCTGCTGGGCTCCGGTGATCCTTCTGTCTCAGCCTTCAGAGTAGCCAGAATTACAGGCACGTGCTACCATGCCCGGCTGATTTTTTTTGATTTATTGTAGAGATGAGGTCTCGCCAAGTTGCCCAGGCGCATCTCGAACCCGCAGGCTCAGGCAATCCACTCACCTCAGCCTCCCAAAGGCACGGGATTACAGGCTGAGTCACCAAGCCCGGCTTAAATGATTAATTCTAATAAGATAAAACATAAGCCAGACGTAGTGGCTCACGTCTGTAATCCCAGCCAGCACTTTGGAAGGCTGAGATGAGAGAATTGCCTGAGCCCATGGGTTAGAGACCAGCCTGGGCAACATGGTAAGACCTCACCTCCACGATAAATCAAAAAATTAGCTGGGTGTGGCAGTGCATGCCTGTGGTTCCAGCTACTTGGAAGGCTGAGGCAGAAGGATTGCCTAAGCCTAGCAGGTCGAGGCTGCAGTGGCTGTGAGCATACCACTGCACTCCAGCGTGGGTGACAGTGAGACTCCAACTCAAAAAAAAGGGGGGCTAAAACATAAGCAAATCAAACCAACAATATAAAAAATATTTTTGCGTAATGACCAAGCATAGTTGGTTTAGTACTGAAAGTCTATTTAATTGTATTGTTTTTAGGTCTAATTTGCTTAGGTTTCTCTTAGCTTCCTACAGTGGGAAACTGCATCATGAAATTTAAAACTCTCAGCAAACTAGAAAAAGAAACCTTCTCCCCCTGATAAAAGTCATCTAAGAGAGGTCAACAGCAACGTTATACTTAATGGTGAAACACCGAGTGCATCCCTCTAAGATTGTTCTCACACTGACATTCAATGTCGTATGGGAAGTTCTAGACAGTGCAATCAGGCAAGAAGAAATATAAGGCATCCAGATTAATAAGGAAGAAGAAAACTTATTTTTATTTGAAGACATCATGATCATCTACATAGAAAATATGGTGAAATCTACAAAAGAAAAGCTACTGTAACTAACAAATGAGTTCTGGAAAGTTGTAGCATATAAGAGCAATACATAAAAGTCAATTGTGTTTCTATGTACTTTAGGTTTGGCGAAGATTTCTTGATATAAGCACAAAAACATGATTAATAAAAGAAAAAAATGAGCCAGGCGCAGAGGCTCACGCCTATAAATCAGCACTTTGGGAGACTGAGGGTTGCCTGAGCCCACGGGTTCAAGACCAGCCTGGGCAACTTGATGAGACCTCATCACTACAGTAAATCAAAAAGTTAGCAGGACATGGTGGCACATGCCTGTAGCTCCAGCTACTTGGAAGCCTGAGGTGGAAGGATCACCTGAGCCCAGCAGGTCGAGGCTACGGTGGCCATGAGCATGCCACTGCACTCCAGCCTGGGTGACAGAGTGAGACTCCAACTCAAAAAAGAAAAGAAAAAAATAGTAAATGGAATTCATTAAAAAAATAATTTCTGAGCCGGGCTTGGTAGTTCAACCTGTAATCTCGTGCTTTGGGAGGCTTAGGTGAATGGACTGCCTGAGTCTGCAGGTTCGAGACCCGCCTGGGCAACTTGGTGACACCTCATCTCTACAATAAATCAAAAATTAGCCGGGTGTGCTGGCGCGTGCCTGTAGTCCCAGCTACTTGGAAGGCTGAGGCGGAAGGATCGCCGGAGCCCAGCAGGTTGAGGCTGCGGTGGCCGGGAGCGGCCACTGCACTCCAGTCTGGGTGACAGAGTGAGACTCCAACTCAAAAAAAAAAAAAATAATTTCTGCTTTTTATTTTACTTTAAGAGATAAGGTCTCACTCTATCATACGGCTGAAGCACAGTGGTACAATCATGACTCACTGCCACCTTTAACTCCTAGGCTCAAGTGATCCTCCCTCCCCAGCCTCCTGGGTATCTGGGACTACAGGCATGTGGCACCACGCCTGGCTAATTTTTTTTTTTGTAGAGACAAGGACTCACTATGTTGCCCAGGCTGGTCTCGAATTTCTGGCCTCAAGTGACCACCCTGCTTTGGCCTCCCAAAGCACTGGGATTGCAAGTGTGAGCCAATGCATCCAGACAAGCTTTTCTACTTTCTGAAATACTCTGGTCAGAGGATGTGAAGACAAGACACTAAAAAGGTTTTACAAATATTATATCTAATAAAGGACTTCTATCCAGAAAATATAAAGAAAACTCAAAATTCAGTAACAACAAAATTGTAATGGGCAAAAAATAGGAAAAGATACATCACCAAAGACATACTGGTGGCAAGCACACAACGTGACCTATCATCAACCACTACAAAAATGCAAATTTAAACCACAAAGATACTACTCAGCACCTATTAGAATACATAAAATTTTAAAAGCTGCCCAAAGTGTTGCTTGGGATGTTTAGTAACTGGAGTGCTTGCACACTACTCTTAGAAATGTTAAATGGTACCACCACTTTGGAACACATTTTGGCAATCCCTTAAAAAGTTAAATATATGCCAGGCGCAGTGGCTCAGCAGGTTGAGGCTGCAGTGGCCTTGAGCGTGCTATTGCATTCCAGCCTGGGCAACACCAAGACTCTTACTCAAAAAAAAAAAAAAAAAAAAAAAGTTAAATATAGTATACATCAGCTATACAGCCTTGACATCGCATTACTGAGTATTTACCCAAGAAAAATGAAGACACAAATCCATATAAAAGCTTGTACACAAATCTCTATGGCAGTGCCATTTGTAATAGTCTAAAGGTAAGCACGATCTAAGTATCCATCAACAGGTGAATGGATAACAAGCCATTCATACCTGGAACACTACTCAACAGTAAGGACAAAAGTATTGTTACACACAATAACATTGGTGACTCAAAATAATTATGCTGATTAAAGTAGCTAGGCAAAAAGAGAGTACACATATATGGTTTTATGTACAGAAAACTTTAGAAAATGCAAACTAATCTATTGTAACAGATAGCAGGTCAGTGGTTGCGGTGGGGGGACAGAGAACATGGAAGCAAAAGAAAAAAAAGGGTTACAAAGGAGAAAGAGAAAAATTATGGAGCTGGTAGATATATTCACTATCTTAACTATAGTGATAGTTACATAGTGTGTATAAATATATATGTGTGAAAACACTTTAAATGTGTGCGGTTTGTATATCTGTTCAAAATGGAGCTGTCCAAAATTTAAATAATACGTGTACCTATACTCTCAGCTACTTGGAAGACTGAGGCAGAAGGATCACCTGAGCCCAGGAGGTTAAGGCTGTGGTGAGCAGTGATCATGCCACTGCACTCCAGCATGGGCAGCAGAGCAAGACCGTGACTTAAAAAAAAAAAAAAAAATTAAATAATAAATAAATTTGTGGAGAAAAACACAGATGAAAGAAGTAAATTGAAACCTATGAAATACAAAATAGAAATAGAAAACAACAGTCTGCTGCCAAACTATCAAACATTTAAAGAAGAAATCACAACAATCTTATATAAGCTCCTTCATAAGATAGAGGAAGAGAAGAGTTCCCAGTCCATTTTTTGAGATCAGCATAACCTTAACCAAGAAGGGTATAAAGACAAATTGTAGAACATTATCACTCGTTAGCATAGACACAAAAGAAATCCTCAAGAAAATACTCCCAAATCAATTCTGGCAAAACATAATAAGGATAAAACATCATGACCAAGTGGGATTCATCCTAGGAAAGCAAGGTTGGTTCAACATTTTAAAAACCAATCACTGTAGTATACAACATTAACAGAACAGGGAACAATGGATCAATTAAAAAATTTTTTTTTTTACTCAAGTCTATATGCATGAAAGAAAATGGGTTATAAGCACATCATTAGCCATTAGGGAAATGCAAATTAAAA